GATGATCGTTAATAATTAGTTTTGTTATATTTCCGGCTCATTTTCTTCGTGAAAATGATATATAATTATACTAAACATAACGGCATTCAGACCGCTTGCTAGCTTTGAGAAATTTACATCATCTATATACGATGTCATGAAGAAGAGGTTGGCAAATTTGCTACTTTCCAGCTGACAGAATCTTAATCTTCTCTTTAAACCATGAACAAAGTTATCAAATCAATAGTAAACATCCAATAAGACAGGTACATGTATATTTAAAATGAATTCACCAAACATAATTAAGCGCCTTTAATTGTAGGCTAGGTGTCAATTGCCCATTGTAAACTAGAGCGAAAACACCATTTGAATTTCAAAATGTTTGATACCCTTAGCATTAAAATCAGGTTATCATTAATGGTTATTACCAGTATTATAACTAGTATTGTTAATTGTATTATTATTGTTATCAATTATTATTATTACTGGGGCTACCAACACTATGAGTATTATTTGTGTTATTGACTGACTAAACATTTGTACCATAAACTCACATTAGATGATTCATCGTCTTCACATTTCTGCAACACTCGACAAGTTCAACCAAGTCTTCCTCGTCTGTGCACTTCACCCTGGTCAGAATGAGCCAATACAGGTTCTTGGTTTCTTCTCCGATCAGTAGACCCAGTCCTCTCATCGTTTCAGTAGATACACTCGTCTTCTCTGATGGGAGTGAGCCCGGTGCTGTAAGCTCGATGTGTGTGAGCTGCTGTCCTCCGGTCCGACGAAGACCAGCCGTGATCTGAGGTATGTCTCTCTCTGCATCATCGATAGTGATATCGATATCTCTCAAGCCAGGAAGCGATGAGAGCAGACCTCCATAGCTTTGTGAATTCATACTCTCAGCTAATAGCTTTGTGACGGATGGAAGCTCAGGAGGAGATGGAGGGAAACTGAGAGAGGAGTCTGAGATGGTGAGATGGTTCAGTGAGGTGAAGGATCTAAGACAGGACCACAACTTCTCGGTCATCTCGGTAGATAGCTGGCATTTTTCAACGAAGAGTTGACCATTATCCTGGAATTATAAAGTGATTTAATGTTAGCCATATGATAAACAATAAATATTTGAAATAGGTACAATTTAAAGGAAGGAACCTTGGTATATTAAGTTATATTACGTATTTAGTTAGAATTCACAAGCAAAAAAAAAAGGAACACTATTATATTACATTAGGGTTATACCTGTCCTTTAGGGAATCCCGCCCCCTCCCCCTCAAGAAACAGGTGGTCTTTTGTACAACTTCTTCAACATTTCCTAATCAATTTACCCCTTTCAATCCCTATGCAAGAGCTAGAAATGTACGTACATACTAAACACATTAAACACACTTCTACATTGTAAAATATCATTAGTTATTGCTTGCCCGACGACTAGGAGCCGTCCGTTTATTCGATTGTAAAATTCAAATTCCAAACACATCCATGAATACACAATCTTTGTTATCACATAAGTGAAGTGACATCGATCATACCATTCGAGCTTTCTTAAACGCGCCGAAAAGGGCGCACAATATTATGTGAAGACCTTTTACAAACGCTTTCTCTCCACTTCACGAAACCACATTATATTTGTTTATTATGCTATTTATGAGTTCAATATGTACTTATCAGGTCCACAAATATTGTTTATAAGATGATGACGTCTTTTGGGTTAAAAATACAAACCATCTTTACTCCTTTACTGTTTTTTTTTTTTTTTTTTTTTTTTTGGGGGGGGGGGGGGAGGGGTGGGGGCAAAAATGCGTTTTGCCCCCCTGTCCCCCCCCCACTTCCGGTGCCTATGACGTAGATCCTAATCAAATGATTGGTTTAAAGCGTACACGTGACCAGGCATTTATTTTGCCTAACGCGTAATTTGGATAATGACCGGTCATTATCCAATTCTAATGACCGCTCATTAGTAAAATCATGTTATTAAACATCAATTTTTGTATATAACAAATAAAACATAATCTTATAAAACAAATAATACACATCATTTTGGTCGGGCATTAGTAAAATTACCCACACTCGGTACCTGCAAACAGTCAAAGAACCCTCGGCTACGGCCTCGGGCGTGTCAGACTATTCCAAAGGTACCTTGTGTAGGTTATTCTTAACCGCTGTTTTATTGTACAGAGCGCTCATGAACAACAGATTGTTAACTGATGAGGTAAGCCTACTTTACAAAAACAGTACAGATAATATAAATAAATATGGCCGATAAACAAAATCAATAACTTTGTTTTACATACATTTGACTCTGATCTGCGAATGGCTGATTTCTCATTTACACAGGCAACCTGTCTCTCTATTTCATGATATGCCGCAGCGGTGGGTTGGTGGATGACTCCAAACATACCGGTCATTCACGGTTTCTTTTAATGTTAATCTCAATTCATTTCAAATATTTTGTGAATGTAGGTTCATCGGAATCATTATTTTATAATATTGTAGTTTACATGTACATGTAGCACCTTCACCCAATATAATATAACAATAAAAAGGATGCCACTATATTTCTACAAACAGCTATACACATAATATATATTTAAATGAATTTATGTTACACTGTTTAATGATATAATTGTTTTTATAGTATCAGCATAATTGCCCCCTGGACAATCATCCCCGGAAAAATACCCCCAAGGATAACATCCCCCGAGCAGAATTACCACCAGACAAATTACCCTCTGGGACAATTACCCCGTTTTTCTAAAAATATGCCGCTAGGATAATTGCTCCCCCCCTCCATTAACAACAAAGACAATCACCCCGGAGGACAATTCCCCCCCCCCCCTCTTCCCGGGAAAATTACCCCCTTTTCATTAAAGGGGAAGTTCACCCTGATAATTTTTTGTTTTTTGTTGGGGGGGGGGGGATATTTGTCATGGGGGGGGGGGGAACAATATTGTCCTAGAAAACCTTGCATTCATGTAGCAATCGATATACTTAGAAGGTAACTTACATGCAAGGCAATCACCCTGAGTGACTTCTCTGACTTGTTTAGACCAGTGATGCGGCTTCTTAGTATACCGTGTGCGTTTGTACCACAGCCGAGAAAGCTGCAACATAATAAATGAAGTTTAAATTGCGTACACAAAGAGAAATGCAAAGAAGATGTTTATTGCATCCATTTGTAGATGAGTGCATGTTTGGTTAAAGTGTATCGATCACCTGAATTTTATTCGTGTAGAGCTGGAATGTATAAAAGCAACCCGACAAAAGTTGAACTGCCATTGTCTGGGTTAACGGTAGAGGTATGAAGAAATAAATGGCAACATAAATAGGGCGCGCAGGGGACGGATTTCGGTCTTCGGTTCCTAGCTTGAGCGGCCTATTCTTATGTGCCGACGTACCGGTCGCCGGGTCGGCAATTCTACCACGAGGTGTCACTCTTATAATTAATATACTTTGTGTAAATTGTATTTAAACAGGTAAAAGAGGCGGCGATCCAGCTAAAGGGAGGGGGGGCATGGTGCCCCTGTGTTCGAGTACCCCAAAAGAGCCCCCTTTTAAAAGTGCCCTTTCTGTTTCATTTTTTTTTTTACAGATAAGTCCCTCTTTTCTTTCTAATAAATTCCCCCTCTCCCCTTCTCATAAAAGCTCTTCTCACTCTGATAAGTATTCCCATTCTTATCTGATAGGTGACCATTTTTCTTTAAAGAAATGCCCATTTTCTTTAGTAATAAATGCCACTTTCTAAATGCGATATGTTCCCATATTACTATGGCACGTTTCCCTTTTCCTTTCTAACAAGTGCTCTTTCCTTTCTATTAAGTGCCTATTATCATCCCTCATGAGTGTCGATTTCTAGGTATGAGAACTGATTAAAGTGACCATTTCACATTTACAGATGCCCATTTCCCTTTCTAATAAGTCCATTCGTGATGTCTTTGCATAGCGCATGATTTATGCTTGCAACAAAATACACTCAAAGACCATGTGATATAGGCCTATATGTTTTGATAAATGAATGATGTACTAACAGAAATAGCCTGATCAGAACACAATGTCGCACTCCGAGTACAGACTTTTACTTCTATGCGGAGTACAATACACGCAGAGATGATCGAACGAAGTGAAATGCATATGAATATGACCCCAACGAACGAAGCTACATGCACTTCTTTCAACAATAATATGTTCGTTCATATAGGCTGACCCTTCTACATGAAAAGACATGCGTTTCGGCTTCATACTAATAAAGTAATTTTGTCATAATATTAACAATTGTATTATTGTCATCACACCACTGATTAAATGTGATATTCTCAGTTATTACTACTAAATCAAAACAAGATTTTCTCCGTGGAAAATAGTGGTCAATTCAGCTGCAAACAATCAATTATTGAGGAATTAAGGAGGTCATTTAAATAGATCAGAAAAAGTAGTAGGGCCTTATGTGATAAACAGAAACAAAATAAACCAGTTGAACACATGCAAGAAAACATGATGATCGTTAATATTTAGTTTTGTTATATTTCCGGCTCATTTTCTTCGTGAAAATGATACATATACTAAACATAACGGCATTCAGACCCCTTGCTAGCTTTGAAAAAATTTACACCATGTATATACGATGTCATGAAGAAGAGGTTGGCGAATTTGCTACTTTCCAGCTGACAGAGTCTCAATCTTCTCTTTAAACCATGAACAAAGTTATCAAATCAATAGTAAACATCCAATAAGACAGGTATATGTATATTTAAAATGAATTCACCAAACATAATTAGGCGCCTTTAATTATAGGCTAGGTGTCAATTGCCCATTGTAAACTAGAGCGAAAACACTTTCTGAAGTGCAAGATGTTTGATATACCCTTAGCATTAAAATCAGGTTATCATTAATGGTTATTACCAGTATTATAACTAGTATTGTAAATTTTATTATTATTGTTATCAATTATTATTATTACTGGGGCTACCAACACTATGAGTATTATTTGTGTTATTGACTGACTAAACATGTGTACAGTAAACTCACATTAGATGATTCATCGTCTTCACATTTTTGCAACACTCGACAAGTTGAACCAAGTCTTCCTCGTCTGTGCACTTCACCCTAGTCAGAATGAGCCACTGCAGGTTCTTGGTTTCTTCTCCGATCAGAAGACCCAGTCCACTCATCGTTTCAGTAGATACACTCGTCTTCTCCGATGGGAGTGTTGACGGTGCTTTAAGCTCGATGCGTGTGAGCTGCTGTCCTCCGCTCCGAAGAAGACCAGCCGTGATCTGAGGTATGTCTCTCTCTGCATCATCGATAGTGATATCGATATCTCTCAAGCCAGGGAGCGATGAGAGCAGACATTCGTAGCTTTGTGACGTCACTCTCTCGGCTGATAGCTTTGTGACGGATGGAAGCTCATGGGTAGATGGATGGAAACTGAGAGAGGAGTCTGAGATGGTGAGAGTATGTAGCATCGAAAATGATCCCAGGCAGGACCATAGTCCGGTCGTCACGTCGGTAGCTAAAGTAGATCCCTCAAACATGACAGTCATTACCTAGTGTTAAGATAGAAAGATAGAGAGAGTAAAAGAAAGAATTAAAGACAGATTGTACGAATAAAATAACATTAATTAGTTGATCTCTTGTTGTTTGTGGTAATTATTAAAGCAATCAAGACTGTATCCTGATCTTATCTCAGAATAGTATCCGTCCAGTAAATGGAAGTCCCTCCCATAATCTGTTACATTAATAAGTAATACATTTATTATCTTCGATGTTAAATAAATAGATCCTTTGTTTTACATAGGCTACATGCTTATATTGGATGTCCCTCGCTCTTTTATCTATTAAAATGAATAGGCCCTAAGGCCTTTTAAAAATAAGTATTTTGTTATTATTTTGTTTCAAATCATGGTTCGTGTTACTGTTATGCAATACCTTGATTGAGACCGTAGTAATAGGCAAACATAGAATAGTGTATCATACTTATTGAGCGTTTTATCATGCAGTATGACTTTAATATCACGATGCACCTAATTATGAATAAGAATACATTTACATAAAAATATATTATATATTTGACTTACAGTTGCAGCAGAGAATTGGACATTTAAACAATCTTAATGAAATGCTTATTGTAAACATATTTTGTGAAATTAAAATGTGCAAACCTGACGTTTAAGTTGCTTTGGAAGATTTTGCATCCCAACGACGGTGTAGACAGTCGGTGACTTCAGAACAATCCTCTCTGCATTAACACATCTTTGAACCAATGAAGACACGTTTCCTTGAGTACCCGTAGTCTCGGATGAGCAGTCAAGGAGAATGCGATATCGCTCGCTCTCATCCAAAAAGCTGTTTTTAAGGAGCGCCTTCATTATTCGTATACAGAGGATGTTGTCAGTGCCAGCAGCGAATCGGATAAGATTCTCGTAGTCACATATGTTTGCTTTTATCTTGCGCAGTACTCTGTCCAATTTGGAAATCTTTAAATGTAACAGAAAGCGGTTTGTTTGATCAGCGAGGAATTTCCCGGCGGAGTGTTCTTGGGCGAGTTTGTGATAAAACTCAATGGTAGTGGAAGTGGTCTCGTTGGACTGAGGAAGTCGCGTGATGTTACCAGTTGTCTTGGATACTATCCCAAGCTCACATGCCATATCCAGGGTTGCGGGAACTTTACGGAAATCATGAGGCGTGAAGACTAGTTGTTTGGCATCGTCGAGAAGGCCAGTAAGGGCAACTTCGCCTAATTGATGAATTACTTCCTTTAACTTTTCTTGTGTGATTTTAACACTTGACTTCGATCGCTCGTTTGCATAGTGCATTAGAAAAACATTCACCTTGTCCAGCAATCCTGTTTGAGTTGTAGTACCACTGTCCAGTAGGCCCTCACTCCATACGTGACATATCATGAGACAAAATAGAGGTGTCTTGACAAGTTCATCAATAAGTGGTTGTTCATCAAGGTAAACCTCCAGATCACGCCCTCTATCAGGAATCGAAGTCGAAGCAAAGAACTTGTTGATGTACTCGTATGAGCTCTCTCGCGAGAATCCTTCGATCCACATCTTTGTGTATACCCTTGGAAGATCATCTTGATCGAAGAAGTTCTCTAGGTGAGGGCGTGTTGTTACAAGGACTCGACACTCTGGAAATTCCTCCAAACAGATGACCTTCATAATATTGCTCTCTGAGCTTCGCTGTGAAGAAGAAATACCCGCATATTCATCTAGTCCGTCTAGTATTATGTGGCAGATGCCCTGTAGTCCGGCAGCCATCTCGATATACCTTGTTTTAGGGTCTATAGTTTTTTTTTCTTCGGATTATAGTTCCTTAGACCATCAATTTGAAGAATTCGATTGCTGACACTCTGTCAGCATTGAGCAATTTGAGATATGTGACGTCATACAAAATGGCCGCCAAAATCTCCTTTTTAACCAAAATTAATGATATAAAAAGTTTTAACAGCATTTTACTACATTAAATGGCAGTCAAATATCTTGATTTTTTTCTAGAATCATCACTAAATAAAAATTGCGATGCTGTATGATCACAAATGATATGCAAATTTGCATAATTCGGAATGGCGCCCTCTATAGACACATTAACTTGCATAGGTCAAAATGATGGCCAAATACCAATTTCTAACATGAGATTATCATATGTCATGAGTCAGATGCACTGGATACAGTGAGTAAAGATTGTGCTGCACATTTATTTTTATTTTGTAATTTGATACTCGAAGAAAACACGGTTGAATTTTATGCTCTCTGTCCCATAGATATGAGGTGGCATACGGTGATAAATGCCCATTTTCAGTGACAGCGTTAAGAAACTAGATTTGTATTCTAAGGTACTAGATTCTTTTAAATTAACCTAAAAATTACGAACTACCACTACGATACAGGACTATATCCGTTTATAAGTTTGCTTCAAAATCTTGAAATTTGTTTAAAAGCCCTCTAAAGTGTTGGGAACCCTAAAATATTCCATGCGGAAGAGGGTGTCATTTAACACTTAATTCTGCAAAGTAAGGTCGTGACTGTAATGCGTGCTTCCACACGCATGTTTGCAAATGAGTTCTCTTAACATTTTCTACAAATGCTTCAGTAGTTTGAGGTAGTGAGGCAAGGTTTAGGGGTATTTGGAGCTCCTAGTCTTCGGACCCTTGATAGCCACACGTTGATACGAGTCTCTGACATTCAGTTGGTTGTTGACTGTCCATAACATGAAGCAAAGCATTGAGTAGGTTGAGTGATGACATATGACCATGCTGCATCAACATTGCCAACTCAGTCCTAAGGAAGTCGAATCTTCTGCTTCATCACTTTCAGCATTGTACCCTATCCAATGCCAAAGTATGCCCCAAGAGTGTCGCATCCCGTCAACGCATGTCCTGCCAACATCGATGGAATGATATCTCCTAACTTGTCTACATTGGCAGGAACATCAATAACAGTTCGATTTGTAAAGGGGCGTCTCCATGGTCATTGGCGTTTTATAAGTTCGTCATGTAGATAAAGATGCAAAAGTAGTACGTAGACGTCTGTGTCATCCACTAGGACCCTAACATACATCTCATTAGCATCAATTCCAATCGCTTGCTATTCTTTGATGTTGCCTGCTTCATCATAACTATGTTGTGGACAGACCTTTCCTTGGCATGACATCACTGCCTGGAATCACTTCAACAAGAACCTCATCTTGACGGTAAAGGCCTGCTTGTGCTTTTGCCTATTTCTGAGCACCCAATCATCCTGCAGACTCGCGCATATAATTATGATGTCGATCAAGTAGTTTGTTGTCATGAAAAGATAGTGAAGTTAGCAACACTAGAGACACGTTTCAACAACTTCTCTCCCTAGCTTTATTGATCTTTCCAAAGCTTTTGACTGCGTACAACATAAACGCCTATGGAAGATTATGAGCTAGATGGGCTTTCCAGCACATATAATTCAACTCATCCAGTCGCTCTACCAATACCAAGAAGCAACAGTAAGAGCAGAGAATGGCGACACCGAAAGGTTCACTATTGGTCAAGTTGTCCGTCAAGGCTGCAACCTATCACCATAAATTTTCAACATCTATGCTGAATTCATCATAAGAAAGGCATTTTATGGTCAAGTTTCTGTTGGTGGACGAACGATCACCAACCTAAGATATGCCGACAATACAACACTCTCTTGTGTATTAATGGGGAAGGGTATGGGGGGGGGGGGTTGGGGACAGTTGAACCCCCAAACAAAATTCAAACTGTTTCTTTTTATATATTCGATACCAGTGATTTACAAATGTTGCTGAAATGTCATGATTTTCCTGGGTTTTTTCTCACTTTTTAGTAAATTATTATTTGTTAAGCGTATGTTGGAAAATGACAAATCCTAAATCCACAGTCAAGCAAAAAATATGCTTATTTAAAAGCCTACATGTCAGGGTCCGCAGAACAGCGGGGCTCAGGGGACTCGAGCCCCCCTCACTTTTTGTATAAAGTATGTTAAAGAGAACTAGAACTAGAAAGAAAGAAAGAAAGTGACCCGAGGTGAAATGAGGTATCAAAATATGTTCATCTGACAGTTAATACATGCCTGAAACCCTTGAGCTTCCGGGGGCTGTGCCCCTTGAACACCACGCCAATTTGCGCTCCCCTCTTCTTGATCGTAAATACTTCAACCCCCCCCCCCCACCCCGCTTTAAAAAAAAAGTTCCGCGGGGCCTGCATGTAACATGTATGAATGGTGGTGATACAGATTGTTTTTCTGCCCCTCTAAGTGTTTTTGCTCAGTATGCCACTGACAACACTTATAACAAGAACATCAGAAGAACTACTAGAACTCCTTAAAAAAGAGTGAAGGATGCAAGTGAATAATTTGGACCCTACCTCAATGTGAAAAAGACCAAGATCATGATTGGTGGAAATTAATTACATGCAACAGAGCATGGTGGTTGATGGAGAAGAAGTTGATCAAGTGGACAAGTTTATATAATGTTCTTGGGTCAATGATTGTCAAGGAGGGTGGAAGCTCGGCAATATCTGCCTTTGAAATGTGGTGTTGGAAGAAGCTACTTGGGATATCATGAAGAGATTACAACACCAATGGACACAATTAATGTCCATCATCGGAGATCAACCGCCACTTGCTACCAGGATTGACAAGTACAAGCTACAATAGTTTGGTCACGTTAGCAGAAGATCAGGAGACAACCTTGACAAATTATCATTCAAGGTACCTTTGAAGAAACACGTAACAAAGGAAGACTCAAGCTCAGATGGACTGACGACCTTAGGGAAATCACTAGCCACCCTCTAAATACTAAAGACACTCTACCGGATTGCAGGAGACAGATGCCGATCAAAAGGTCTCATCAAACGGGTCACAAGGGTGAGCCATGATCTATATGACAACGACGACGACGACGAACAGTAAGAGATAGTTTCTTGGAGGGCAGCAGTGACGCGGGACTCAGTTGGAAGACTCTCGACCCGTTATGACCTCTAAATACTCTCGGATCTGTCAAACACCAAGCAAACATCATCAGATTTTCATCCACAGCAGAGCACAACCATCAATGACTGTACAAGGTTGTTCCAGTGTCTCATGCCTGGCTGACATCTCAACTTTTGTCAAATTCTATAAGTCCGTCTTTGACATGGGAGTGCTCGTTTCCAGAATCATCAAAAAGTGCTGGTGGGACTGATGAAAGCTCTTATGACAAAATGTCCTTGACATTGACCTCTCTTGAACTTGTCTGCAGTCCTATTACTCTGGAGTAGATCAACTTTTCATAGACTTTCGTACCCCAACATTGACTTCTTCATGGCTGCCACGGTTTGAACATTCTTGGAAATTGTGACATAGAATCCACCAGGTAATTTCTTTTGAAAATCATGCATCTGTCTAGTATAGATGTCAACTGCTTTATCCACATTCACTGACGTTGGAGCAATGCTGGTCTAAATAAAGCCTATTAATTGAATAATAATGTGTGCCGTAAAACCAGTTCTCACCGATTTGTTGAAAAATAAATTCTTTCATAGCCATTTTTTTTCTTGACATATGTAGGGTAGGTGTAGGGAATTGGAGACCACCAAGCTTGAACCCATCACTGTCTGTCCGTGTTGGCTCCAATATTGATATAGCGACATATGTGGCCTTCAACAACACTACTGCATATATCCAATTCATTTCGAAGACTACAGTGCGTTCTCTCTACGAGAAAAATTGGCAAAATTGACCAAGATAAGCAATTTTGATCGTAAAATTTTGCTCTGATATAAAAACACAATTTTCACTGAATGTTGTGGTGTATGCAGATATTTAGGGGTGGCTCTTAAAAAAAATAGTTTTAAAAGGAAGTTTATGAAATGTGCCAACCATCACAGAAAGCTTATGGCCACTGTGTGTTGTGAATGGGTGTTGCAATTCACATTATGAATAGTGTCTGATCAGAAATGTGTGTAGGTAATGGGGGACACCAGGTCCAAGATGGGGGCCTACTTCTCCCCAGTTGTCCATTTCATGTTGAAAGGCACTATCATGAAACATATTTGGTTGTACGTGTCACCATTCTAATTTGAATGCATTTAATTTTAAGAAGGTGTTTCTATGCTGTGAGTTTGATAAATGTAAAAGTCATATTGCCAGAAATATTCTGGGCCCCATTGTTTTAAAATCGTTTCAAAATTACAGTAAGTTCATTGGCTGCATGTTTATCTTTCAAAAAGTGTTTGAACTAACTATAACAATCCCATTTTCATTCAAATTGTATTTAAAATGTCTTGATTTGTAACTGTCCCTTATTACCTACACATGTAGGTAATGAGAGACCTTTGGTGATGACGTCATTAATCATTGTGATCTTATTAATCAGTTACATCATCACCACAATTTCGTTACCAAATAAAGAGAAAAAATACTAAAGAGAATACAAAAATGTCTGTATGTGTAACATTGTTCATGTTTATGTAAATTATGCAAATGTGCTTAAGGGTCTTCCATTCCCCACACCTACCGTATCTAAATTTGTACCAAACACGATGAAAGATTAATGCAGCACAACTGCAATTGTTTCCCCAAAAAGCATTTAATATGATTTCAACGTGACATAGATTTAAGAAATTGGCATTTGGCTGGCACACATATTTTATTCAAATTAATATGTTTATAGAGGGCGCTATTTCAAAATATGCAAATAAGCTGGTCATCTCTGGCCATGCAACACCACGAAACACATTATTAGTGATGGTCCTAGAGAGATACAGACATTTGGCTGCCAAAAATTGTAGAAAAAATCCTTATTATATATTTATTATTCATTTTTAAAGGAAAATCATGTACTTTGGCGGCCATTTTGCATGACGTCATATATCTTAAATTGCTCAAGGCTGACAGAGTGTCAGCAATCGGATTCTTGAAATAGAAGGTCTAAGCAATCAAAATCTATTGAAAAAAAAACTATAGACCATAAAACAAGGTTAGGCCAATAATCTGGATTTGGCTGCCGGACTACTGGTTCTTTCTGATGAAACTCTCCAGACCCTCTGGCGTGAGATCATGAACATCACTCAAAAGCTGTGATTTGATGGCTTCTCCGATCGATGTAAGCTGACTTGTGTTTCGGAATTTCACAACAAACAACAGTGGCAGGTGTTCTAATGCTGACCCCTTTTCTCTATGAACCCAGTCATAAGCCATCTTCGCAACAGCCGTGGTCTTCCCTCGTCCAGCCGGGGCCGAAATGAGGATTCGAGCTGGCAGTTTGCCGTTTACTTTCGTTGAAAATATTTCAGCAACAGAATTCTGGAGTATTTCCTTCTTTTTCGTGTCATTTCCACGACCGTCCTTCTTCACCATTGTGACAACCGTGTGCATATCTTCGAACTCAGCATAGTCATTGCGATCCCATGGCTTCATTTGAATTTTGCACAGTTGATCTTGATACTTGTTCTCCAACTTTTTGCGACATTGCTGAACAGTCAAGGATTCCGAGATCTTCTCACTGTAGATATCTGAAACGATACAAGCATATAATACAAAATGTCTTATTGTACTCCTGCAATATCAGCCCCTTCCCTTTCCGACTTAGTATGGTCCCGTTAGTAATTATTTCTTGTTCGAATACATCAAGATTCATTGTTCCGATGTTTTTCCTCTTCCCCACGAAGAAACGGGCTGGAAACACGCTTAAAGGAAAACTCCAACATTAATGGCAAATTGCTCTGACATGAAGCTGAACAAAAATAGAGAACCAGTCTAGCGAAAGTTTAAACGAAATCGGAATCGGAAATACAATAATAATGTTTTTAGTTGTTAAAAAGTTACAATCGCTATAAGTAAATGACGCACGGGAACTTCAAATTAGCCAAATCCGCAATGGTACCGGATGCATATTGGCGCACATCTCTCCCATTTGTTTTAACACACATAATGACTAAAATTAAATTTGTCGAAATGTGTTACTCTCGAGTATCTACCATTTTAAAACGAGATATAATGTATATGCTATCCGTAATATATTTTGGGTATTACACCAAGGGAAAAGGTGCTTATGAGAGGTACTTGTGAGAAAAACATAATTTAACAAACGGGAGTGTTGTCCGTTACTACGTCACAATCCACTGACCAAATTGCATATAGTGATGACATGATTCAAAGATTCACATTTTTCGTTATTGATTCGATTACAACTTATGATATTCAGTTTCTCTAATTATATTCCGCTTTTACACAAATTAACTCGTTAAAAAATGTGAATTGCCCTTAGTCGGGAAATATCTCTTCAAATCGATTTGAAAATTAAAAAAAGTTTAAGATCCTTTTAAACTTTATTTTTCTAACATAATCATATATTTAAAAGATTTTTTTATATATTTGTTTACAACATTCAATTTACAAATATGTTATTTTTTATTGAAGCCGGGTGCTTTCTTCCCAACTGTTAACATCTTGGGATTCATTCTATTTATTAGTTATACTTATTATGGATAGAAAGATAAACCGATGAGCAAACAGTGAATGAAGGAACTTGAAATGAACCGACCCTGTCCTTTAACAACCTCATACATTGCGTATTAAAAATTTGTGCGCAACTTTGGTAGCTTCTAACTAAAAATTCTAAACATATTTGACCTTGAATCATATAACACGGTAAATGGTAATGAATACCATATTCGTAATTGTGCTTCAACGGATGATTGAGCAGCAGGCTTTTCAAAAAGTATTGTCAAAATCCTCATTTACCAAATTTGGGTTAAGGCATGAATGTAGGTCAAAAGCCATTATGTGTTTGTTACCTTATTTAAAAAACCAGTTTCTTACTAACTTACATTGGCTAATAAACAGTTGATTTGAAAAAGTATTAATATCTGATCGAACCCAATAAAATACGGATTACAAACTAAATTTATGATACTTTCTTCGTTATGATTATAATATAATCATGACTTCTTTCGCACCCCCTGTTTTAGGTAACCCGTGTCATTGAGTGATACAACATGGATTAAGTTTATTTAGGACGTTATTTAATGAAAGTTTACTGTACATTTCTGTAATACCTAGCATCATAATATGTGTTTTTATTGCTTTTGGGTTTAGTAACCCTTTTTTTACTCTTCGAGAAAAGCACTATATGCACTTTACTTGTGTGAAATGGCGCAGTTGAGAAGTTGGCAGAGATAATTTAGCTATCATGAGACATGAATTAAGTAGAACGAAAAAGCGCATGCAATATGGTTGACCTACATTTAATCTATCATGCCAAACTTGGTATCATTTTAACAACACTTTTTAAAGACCCTGGTGCTCAGTCACCCGTCGACTAAATAATATGAATAGCTAGGGTATCATTCGACAGAAACAAGTTACTTTACATCATGAACTATGTTTCATGGAAATGTTCAAAGTTCATGTTCTCAAAACAATGAACAGGACTACAGGTACATGCAGGGGCGTACGCAGGATTTTTTCAAGGGGGGGGGGTTTAAAATCGGGCCTAAAATATTTTGCTCCCGAAAATTTTTAAATCGCGCCGGCCGAAAAGTCGCTCAGTGGGGGTGTGGGGGGGGGGGGGGGGGGGGGGGGGTAAGCGGACACTTTTTTTTTTTTGGAGTCCAAAAAAAATCGCAACGACTTAGCCAGCCGAAATATATATATATATATTTTTTCTTTTCTTTTTTAAATAATTAAAAATAAAAAATAAAAAAAAATCCAAAGGGGAGGGTTTTAGGTTTTTTTTAGGGGGGGGGGGGGTTTACACACATAAAAATACCAAAGGGGGGGGTTGAACCCCCAACCCCCCCCCCCCCCCCCCCCCCCCCCTGCGTACGCCTCTGGGTACATGCATGAGCGGTGATTCTAGGCACTCTAGCACTGATAGACCCACCTTGAATAATTGGTGTCCTCTTGAGATATGTATCAGCAAGCATGACCAGCTCAGCGTCAATGAGAGCTTGTTTCAGTCTGATATGCTGGTCGCAAGGCACGACGGTCTGTCTCCAGTCAAACAACATGTCACGTGTTCCCTTACAAGTCACCCGTCCTTCTATCCTATTGGTCTCTGTGTATCTATTGATGTCTGCGACCTTGAATCCGAGCGTTCGACCTAAGGCCTCCATCTGCTCACCCGTCTCGATGTCTTCAGCCAGCTTGGAGAGAAGATCATCGGCAATACCTTCATGAGCCGCCATACCTGTGGAGAAAATAATCAAGATTAAAGTTTAAGAAACGTATTATGAACATTAGAATGGGACAATAATTCAATGTTGTATGTCAACAGGTCTGCATTCATCATGGATATGTAGCAATTATCTTCAGTGTGGATGCGAGATTGCGGGCTTTGAAATGTTAAGAGTATCGCTACTGTTGTAGAGAAGTAGGGTCTTGACGATCAAGGTATAGGTAATTAGAAACCTTAATAACCCAAAACTATGATAATAAAATAAAGACAACCATGGAAAACAAGACATTACTGTCCATGCAATGGCCTGTAAACATAGTTGCTGCATTTTAAGCATTGCCGGTTTCATTTTTCGTTATGCATATCCAGAGGCAGTGCTCCCAGGGGGGGGGGGGGGTGTCATACTGATCCACTTTCCAAGTACCTGCAAAGTGCCCGTTCTTACGAAGGACCCCTTTTATTTGTGATAAGTGTCGCGTTTACTTTGACAAGTGACTCATTTCCTTTGTAATAATTGTATCTTCCAACACGGGGGGAGGGGGAGGGGGAGCTTCGACGGTTGGGGGGGGGGGGGGCGGGGGGCGGGAGCTTGGACGGTGAAGGTGTACGTCGGCGCCACACACGATAAAGTGGAGAGGGAAGAATGAAGAGAGTGAATAACCGAGTGTGTGCATCAATGAAAGGGAGAGATAGAAAGAGAGAAAGAGCGAAGAAGAATGAGTTTATTGAATTACTAGGTATGAATAAAAGAAAGAGATCAATTGAGAGAGAGAGAGTTTGAATGAGCGAGTGAGAGAGCGAAGGGACGAAAGGGAATTTAAAAAGTAAAGAGAGTCACTAAGAGGGAAATTTGAAATTTTAAGTGCTAGAGAGAGAGGGAGGGAGAGAGGGTGAGAGAGAGAGAGAGAGAGAGAGAGAGAATGAATGAATGGATGGCTCAAGGAGAGAGATATAGATTAATCGTAATTGTGTACCAGTGATTCTGTGTGCCAAAAGTAAAATAAATTGAAATATGTCAGTTCTCGAATAGTTATGGAAAGGAGTGTCGATATGAGATTGTATCACTATAGTGTGGTACGGTATGTCACTGAAACAGCTCCCGTAGGCCTTTGGATTCATTGGGGTCCAAGCTATCAGAAATTGATGGGGTTCAAATTTTCCCGAAGACACCAAATTTCCCTATTGCGCTTTATATAAGCAATTTTGGCGCCCAATATGGACCCCTAGGGAAATGAAGGAGGGGTCTGAAAATTTGAACCTCATCATTTTTGGTCAATCGGGACCCTTTTGAAGCCAAAACAGCAAAAGAAAATCAACTTTGTCAAAAAAAAATCACATGGTATTACATACCATACCGCACTACTACCTCACTACACTAAACACGGTTGATCATGCGTGAACCATTTGATGAGCCTTTTTTCAGGGGAGGTGATTAAAGTATTCCTAATTTCTCTTCCCCGGAGGCATTTTGTGTGCATCCGCCTCATTTGTTATGTTTTTTGGATCTTGATATTTTTAGTTTAAAGATAAATAATGTTATAGGTAATATCATCGCACCTTCAATCGCGATATCATGAGTTGTCAGCTCAGGCGCGTACGCAGAATATTTTCAAGGGGGAGGGGGGGGGGTGGTTTAACTATTTCAAATCGGGCCGAAAATTTCGCAAAGCCTCAGCCAGCCGTTGAATAAGCCGGGGGAGAGAGGACATTTTTTTTTTAAATTTTTTTAACACAAACAAAAAACGAAGGGGGGGGGGGTGTTCCTCTAAAACACATACATAACCAAAATGAAGGGGGGGGGGGTTAACCCCAAACCCTCGTGGGAACATATTGAGAAATTGCTCAACTACCACTCCATTACCAAAGAAAGAGGCCGTGTGTATTTCTCCGATTCTATTGAGAGAGAGAGAGATAAAGATAGAGAGAGAGAGAGAGAGAGATAGGGGAGGGAGTTAGGGTGGTCCGGGGTTCAAATTCAGTTTCCTTTTTTATATATTTTATTCAACCTGGTACTGATGACAAAAATATCTGCCATGTGGCGATACAAACAGGTACCACAATCTCGTTTATTGTCATACAAATATTCAAAAAGAATTGAAGGGACGATGAAGAAATAAGAATAATAATAATACATCGTCGGTATCGTGAGAATATACTTTTTAGCTCTCGCCTAAATCCCCCGAACAATGGAATCAACAGACCAGAATCTACTGTGACACGAATTATTATGAGTTCAAGCTGAACGAATGAATTGCCACGTCATGGTTGTATTAAAGAGCAGCAATGGCCAACGATTGTTGCTCAAATTCATCAACAATGCGAATATTGCTTTTCCCTAAAAAGTATCATGATATATTGGGCCGTACTCCTTTCAGTTAAAGTTTGTTGGGGCAAATAAATTCAGAAAATAAAACAAAGCAAAAATAATGAAATTTACTATTAGAATACTTAATAACGTCTCAAAATATACAAACTGATAATATAAAAAATCGAATTTTAATTCATACAAAATTATACAGAAGGTAGCTATAAATAGTGTATACCTTATCCTATTTTAAAGGGGTAATTTTTTCTTCTTGTTATTTTTTTTTTTCAAATGTCAGACTTACTAACTGGAATAAGCTAGATAGTATTGTAAATTACTGGCGTAGCATCAAGGAGAGGGATGGCAAGAGGGTACTTATATTTCTTTGACCGTACTGAGAGAAAGAGAGAGAAAGAGAGAGAGAGAGAGAGAGAGAGGGAGAGAGGGGGTGGCTTAATGGCTTGGGGTCCGAATTCAGTTTACTTTCAAATTATTAAACCTGGTAAAAATGATGAATTTATCTGCTATAAGATTGTCATGTCATTTACCATGAAATAATCACATAATGTTGTTTATTGTCAACAAAAAATCAATTCAATAATTACAATAATAACTGCGAAAATGTTCCGCCCTCTCTCTCTCTCTCTATGTATATATATATATATATATATATATATATGCTTAATCCTTTGAACAGTGGAATCAACAGGGTAGAATCAATTTTATTTATTGTGTGTCCAAAATGAAACAATAAATCGCCGCGTCTTAGGGGGCGTTTCATCAACATTTTGTCCGCCGATAACTGTCAGCGCTGACTAAATTTGACAAATCAGAGGCCTGGAAAATAATCAGTGACAAAAACATTGTCGGTGAAAATGGTATTAGTGGGTGAAAACCACCGACTACTTGTTTCATGAAACGCCCCCTGGTTATAATATAGGTTGAGAGCGAGAGAGGGCGGGTTAAAGCCTAGGGTTCAAATTCAGCTTTCTTTCATACTATAAAGCCTGGTACTGATAATTTTTTATCTGGCTAGTGACTGCCATGTGATGGTTCCTTATAAATAGTACCGCAATGTCTATTGTCATCAAAATATACAAACTGCATTGTAGAGACGATGAAAAAAATAACACATCGTCGTTCACTCTGATTGGTGGAATCAACCAAGCGGAATCAACTGTGAAATGAATTATTATGAGTCATACCTGAAATAATACATTGCCACGTCATGGTTGTATTTAACGGTGAACGCTTTGCTGCTAGAATTATGCAAGGAATGTTGATAAGATTGCTTTCCCCCAAAAAGTACCATGAGACATATAGCTAGATAAAAACTGAACCATAACAACCGATATTGTCTGGTAAATATACAAAAAACATTGAAAACAGGAGGAGGAGGGGGGGGGGGGGAGGCCTTTTCAGTTAGTTTCAGCCCATGTACTATTACTGCAATTATATGTGACAATTGCCATATACGGAAACATGTGCAGTGTTTTCCACTCAAAATGCGCCTCCTGTAAAAAACAAATTCGTTTTGGATATCATGAAATGACTTATCAATCACATTTTTTGATAATTTCTTTTCTTTGCGTCGTTTGATATTATATATCATACATCTTGTCAAGAAAATATGTTTTACAATGGGCATATTTATGGTGTGGTAAAAAAAAAAGTTACATAATTTTAATGACATCCATATAAGAGTAAACCATACTTTTCAGTTTAATTGCGCCATACACATGTGTGGTATATCCAACTTTAAAATGTATATTAGACAGTTTTATCACCTCAAACTCATGAACAAAATCATGTCAACTGAACATTCAGAGATGGTACATATGTGAAGAAAAAAACATACAAATCAGGATGTCTTACTTTCTATCAAATTGTGAGCACAAAAATACAAATGTTTGTCCGAAAAATGTGCTTAACATCAACCGACATCATAGGCATTATAAGGAGGACAAGTATCGAAGTCATAACCACGAGCCGGAATGTGTACCCCCTCCACAACACACACACACACACACACGCACGCACACTGCCATGAATGCAAGTTCCTTAGATAATTTTCGCTGCATTATTAATTTTTTTTTTTTTTTTTTTTTGGGGGGGGGGGGGGGGCGGGGGAGGAGTGTCGGAGGGGGGTGTACGCCGGCATCAACATGCACGATAAGCTGGCCGGGGACGAATGAATAGAGGGATTAACTGAGGGTGTGCGTCAATGGAATGAGTTTATTGGAGCATTTGATGTGAATACAAGAAATAGATCAATAACAAAGAGAGAGAAACAACAAATATGAGTGGGTAAGAGCGAGGGAGAGAAGGAATGTTAAGAGGGACATTAAAATATCAAGTGAGAGAGAGAGAGAGAGAGAGAGAGAAAGGGGTCGGGAGACAGGCGGAGAGAAAGAGAATGACTGCATGGATGGCTGAAGGAGGGAGAAAGAGATTGTCATTGTGTACCAGTTAATCTGTATCCCGGAGGCGAAAATTAATCGTAATATGTCATGTCTCGAATAGTTATGAAAACGAGTGTTCATACACTGTCGCTCATAAAGGTGGAATTTTTTTTTTTTACACTAATTTATGGAATTATTTTTAAAATGATTTAAAAATAATAGATCTAGATAATAGTATACGTTCTCGGATTTTATTGAATAATAATTTGCCAATGTGTAAGGGGCACTTTCCATAAATTAAAAAA